CTTCTATTATTATCTACTCTTGATATTACATGTATGTATAGGACATGAGCACAGGATGCCAAATGTGTGTTTTGTATAGAATTACTAAAGCTAGCAAGACATGTTGCAGTACAATAAGATTGACATCAGTGGTTGAGAAGTAATTTGTATTAAAAGTGACAGTAAAGAGCAGTGTGCATACTAATTGAACCATAGAGTCAATGTATGTTTATAGCTGCCCATGCAGACCATTATTTACTAGTTCTTTGTATACATTTCGGTGCTTTTTCTGCCGTGAATCACAATCCATTGCTCAGTTTTAACAATGCAGTGCTGATACAAGATGAGCTGCAGCGAGTCCAAGCAACCGTTATAAGTTGTATTTTTATGATTGGTTTTGTTTTATAGCAATTCAGTAAGCAAGAGAGGAGATCTTTTGTTCCATCATGAGGAGGAAAAGCAATGGATTAGAAGATATGTGGTATGAAAACTATTACTTACTAGCTGCATATTCATTGTATTATGTAATCATATTATTATTGTTGTTGTTGTTGTTGTATTTTTGTTTTTCAGGTTGTCAGAAGACCTTATGTATTGATATACAATAATGATAAAGACATGGTAATTAATTTAATAATGATAATTCATGGTCTGTATTATTTATGATTATTGTTTAGGTTGAAAGAGGGATGATTAATCTAGCTAGAGCTAAAGTTGAATATACCGGCTTTATGAAACTCAATACTGTAAGAAACTGACTATCTTAACAGTAATAATAAATGACATTTTCTTTTAATTTTTTTAGAATAATAATTTCCAGATATACACAAAGTTTAGGAGCATACTACTACAGACAACAGATAAGGATTTATTTGATTGGCTGAATGCTCTAGATCCACTACTGGCATGAACTATAAGGTACCACATACATGTACATGTAGTAAAAGAAGATAGTAATTAATATAATGAAGATGTCTTGTAGATGTAGTAAAAGAAGATAGTAATTAATATAATGAAGCTGTCTTGTACATGTAGTAAAAGAAGATAGTAATTAATTATAATCAAGATGTCTTAAGCCCAACATACACTATGCAGCATTTGATGTAAGCAACTTGTTGCATGCAACACATTTTATACAGGAGTCAATGGAGCATTTTCTGTTTCATAATATATTTTTAATAAAAATTAATTAGCAGCAGCCCATTTCCTGTTTCATAATTCATTTTTAATAATAATTAATTATCAGCAACTCATTTCCTGTTTTATAATTCATTTTTAGTAATAATTAATAAAAATTAATTAGTGACAGCTCATTTCCTGTTTCATAATTCATTTTTAATAAAAATTAATTAGTAGCACCTCATTTCCTGTTTCATAATTCGTTTTTAATAAGAATTAATTAGCAGCACCTCATTTCCTGTTTCATAATTCATTTTTAATAAGAATTAATTAGTAGCAGCTCATTTCCTGTTTCATAATTCATTTTTAATAAAATTTAATTATCAGCGACTCATTTTCTGTTTCATAATTCATTTTTATTAATTAATTTAACTAAAATTTCATTAATTTATTTCTAGATCACAAGAAAATACAAGAAGAAGATCAAGTTAATACAATAATATTATGACATTACACAAAAAGATAAACAATGTTAATAATAATAATAATAACACTATTTATGATTTTTAGTTGATTTTTAAATGATATTCTAGTAACTGATCATCAGTGAGAGTTGCTGGTGACCCACACATTGCGTCATAGCCTTGCAAAGATTTGGGAAATGCAATCACTTCCTTTATTGTCTTTGTATTGCATAGCAAAGCAATCAATCTATCCAGACCTGTGGATAAAAAGAAAGAACAGTAAATGTAATGTACTACCTTTCTATTACAGTAAATGTAATATAGAAAATTTATACATGTAAAGAGCAGCATATTAAAACATATTAAACTCAAATAGCTATTGAAAGAAAGCAGTTGTACACATAAAAAACAACTGGCTAAGATTATGCAAGATATAATACTTTATACCTAAAGCAATGCCACCATGAGGAGGACAGCCAGACCAAAGTCCTTTGATGAGATGAGAGAAACTGGTTGTCTCAGCTTTTAAGATATTCTCAAATACGTGCTCCTGGAGTAGTGGATTGTGGATCCTAATTGAGCCACCTCCTAACTCCCAGCCATTCACAACCAGATCATACTGCTGACCTACAATCTGATAAAAAAAAGAGCAATTCTGAATAATAGAAGTAAATATTATGCTACCGAAAGTACATGATAATAATATACTCTTGATACTACTTAACAAAAAGTAATGAAAATTCATGCAGTGAAAAATAATGTGATATAAATCTTTGCTAAGACTATTATAATTGTTAATCAGGTGCTAACTTTGGTCAGTTGATTAGCATCAGTAGAGTACATCAGTTCTTCATGTTCAGGCACTGGAGCTGTGAATGGATGATGCACTGACTTTATCACAGTCCCTCCTCCTTCCTCCTCTTCTTCAAATAAAGGGAAACCAGTTACCCACAGAAGCTCAAACTGTGAATGCAACTCCTTAGTTTCCTTTAAGAATGACCCATTTTCAATTCTAAATTTTCCTAAATTATCAAGCTTCATGTACAAAATAAATTTAAAATTAATAAATTGATTTAAAGTAAAGTAAATTGTTAATTTTCAAACACTTACTGCACTGTCTTTATGCTTTTCTTCATCAAAAGATGTCACTACACAATCTCTGTCTCCCAATATTTCCTTTAATTTATTTATTGTGTTTTCCTTATCGTTAATAATGGATTCACTTAGCACACCTCCGCCATCAGCTATTACCTGAGAACAACAACAAATAACAACAACAACAATAATAATAATGTTTCTCTCTCTCTTACATTTACATGTCCATTACGATATGTGAAAATAATTCCATTTGACATTTCCACTGATGTATCAAAACTAAGTCCTTTCTTTTGATTTAAAAATTCCTTTAAACAATAGAAACATACCGTATAGCGAGATTTATTGACAAAGGTTTTATTTTGACGAGTTGACGATTTAAAATAAAATGTCAAAATTTAATAACCGTCAAAAATTTGGTACTTTGTGCCACGTGTACACGAAGGGCACTATTCGTCAAATTAAAACTCGCCAACCCGAGAAATTTACTGTTTTCGTCAAATTTTTTACTCGTCAATAAATCCCACTATATGGTAATCATTTCTACTAAACACCTCCTGCCTTACCTTTGGGATATCAAAAGCCACTAAAGTACTTGTGTCCTTAAATTTCTCACTGAGCCAGTTGAACTGCAAATAAAGTATTGATTCAGTTCATTAAGTGACATCAGCTTACTTTCATGCCTAGCCTTGTATCTGGTTTATCTGATCCATACTGAAAGAGAGAAAAATGCATTGTATTGATTTTAAATTGTATTAACTAGGTCTTTTTAAGAGGATATAAGACAGGGTTTCTCACAAAGCATACTAAGTGAGCTAAAAGCATGCTTCATTAGCACTGCAGTAACATGCACATGGCTTTTTGAGTAACTTTAAAATTCGTAAAAATCCATTTTTGATCGGAATCAGTTCAAACTTTCCACACAACATAAGAACATGTATATGCATCAGAAAAAATTATAAAAGTGGAGAATTCTCTCCTTTTAATTTTTCACAAAATTTGGCCAACGACCCTGTACTATAGTACAGGGTCATTCGCCTAATTTTTGAGTAGCTTTAAAAATTCGTAAAAAAGCTATTTTTGATTGGAATGAGTTCAAACTTGCTACACAACATAAGAAAATGTATATGTATCAGATAAAATCATTAAAAAGGAGAATTCTCTCCCTTTCATTTTTGGCAAAATTTTAGCCAAAGATCCTGTACTATCCAACAATACACAATGTATCTTGATTCACCCACAATTTCCTGAAAGAAGACACTGATTACTTACATCATCCATGGCTTCTCTGTAAGTCATTACAGGGAATGGAGCAGTAAACTTGTAATCTAATGATTTCAAAAGCTGTGTCATCATTGACTCTATCAGTGACATTAAATCCTGAGCAGAAGTGAATGACATCTCTAGATCAATCTAAGGAGAATGAGAGAGAGAGAGAGAGAGAGAGAGAGAGAGAGAGAGAGAGAGAAAAGTCCATGTACATGTACATGTATTTAGCTACATTACTTGAGTGAATTCAGGTTGACGATCGACACGAGAGGTTTCATCTCTATAGCAACGAGCAAACTGAAAGTATCTATCAACACCACCAACCATCAACAACTGCTTAAACTAAAATATAAATAAAATCATTGATCCATGTAACATAATAATGGTAATTACATGTTGTTCTAATTATATTCTTACTTGTTGTGGGCTCTGAGCTAGTGAGTAGAATTTCCCTTTCTCCCTGGTGGGCACTAAATATTCACGAGCTCCCTAATTTAATAACTGGTTGAGTGGTTAATTAACTATTATTACTAACCTCTGGGGTTGGCTTGAAAAGTGTCGGAGTTTCAACCTCAATAAAACCTAAGATTGAAAGCAAACGTTTTATTATTTTTATTTCTCTCTCTCTTTACCTTCAGATATCAGATATTGTCTGATGATTGATGAAACTTTTGATCGAAATCTAAGAATATTCTGCAATTGATGTCTCCTAATCTCCAAACACCTCTCGCGTAATCTCATCTCTTCAGTCGTCTAACATTAACAATACAATAATAATACATGTACATGTATTATGCATGTACATCTACATGTACATAATATTTTGATTTTTCTTACATTACCGCCTGCTTTACTAAATGGATAAAATGATAGACTTTCTGATGACTTATTTAAAATTTTAATATTCTTTGCTTGAACTTCAATATCCCCTGTTGACATATCCTAATTAATGCACACAAAAATAAATAAATAATAATAATATCACATACTCATTCAATTTCTCTCATTATTTACTTTATTTAAATTGTGTCCTGGTCTGTCTGAGACTACACCCTCTACCAGTACGACAGATTCTGTTGGCAGTGACTGCAAAACCTCTCTATGCTCCTAATTAATATTCATAGTTTAATTTAATTAATTTAAACCACACCCACTTCATTATCAGTGACAACTTGAGTCGTACCGGTTGCATCTGATAAAGGAACAAAAACCACGCCCACTTTACCCATTACCCTATAAGGAAGTATAATCGGAGGAATTTACAATGGATCTTGCCTAGACTTTTGTGTCCACCCACACAAAGTCACGTGACTTCCCACGTGATCTTTCCTCAGTTCTCCACAAGTGTGTGTCCTATAAGTGTATGAGGAGGCACTGTACCAACGAAAACTCGAGAAACAACGACTTCTATAGAGAAACTTAGCAGCATTGGCTGCCATGCTTTATCCGTATACTATTACATTACTCCGCTTATACATAGAATACGGTACTTGCAACTAGAACCACGCCCTTTTGTGGGGAGTGGCTGGTTGCTGTTGCTCGTTGCAGCCAAAACAGCTCATAGTAAGGAGAAACAAGCAATGGAGTACCGCAGAGGAGGCAAAGTGAATGTATTTCCGAGTCTCCTTCCACCACAAGCAAGAAATGATCAGCTTCTCCTAACAGTGACTGCAATGGGACCACCAGTAAAGCCTACAACTCCTACTGGAGGGATTGGAGGAAGCATGGGTACAAGATTAACAGCACTATCAGATCCCTCTGCACTGGTTCAGACTAACAAGGCCATCAATCGAGAGAAAATACTAGCAAGAAGGTACACGGAGCCAAATCTACCATTAATTCCACCACAACATGTGAAGCAACTCAGAGCCACAAGATCAACTGTAAGCACTAGACCACCTTCTTACAAGCTGCTAGCACCAACTCCTACACTTAATGGTCTTGTACTTCCACCCATTGGAGGCAGTAGCAGTTCAGAGCCTCATCAGTTGATGACAGCGCAGAAAGAGGATGAGGAGAAACAGCAATCCTGTGATGAAGACGATGAGAGTAGCAATGAAGTAAGTGAGCCATGTTATAGAAAAGAGGCTGCAATCATAACTTTTAAAGTACTAGAAATTTATGTGTAGTGTTTTATTTCTTTTAGAGTCTGTTGGATGATGATGAAAGCATTGATGATATACCATTAAGTGGTATTGGATTTAAAGACGATTCATTTAGCAGCTCAACTGCATTAGCTGAGGTATCCTTCTCAGCAATAAAACCATCAGACCATACGAGCTACCCAGTAACACTTATACAAGAACAGCTACTAGCAGAGCATCAATTGCATGTTACTGGTGCTCAAGGTTCAGCTGGATACAACCCTAGAGTGAATAATATTGTGAGAGGGTTTGAAATTAAAGGCCCACTGGATAAAGATTTACTCCAACAGGCACTTGATAAAGTGGTCAATGCTCATGCTATACTGAAGTCAGCATTTAGACTGAGGAATGACAGTAATTACTACTGCAGGACCTCACAAAGTAAGACTGCATCCAATATATTAGACATCAAAGTAATCATGAATTTAATATTAAGAGCTATGTTTTTTATTATTTTATAGCTGACTCAACTGTAAAGCTTGAACTGTCAATGAGTTATGAGAAACCAGCAGAACTTATGACTCTGGCTAGAAGGAAACTATTTACTGTACCAATAAGACAAGAAGAATCCTTCAAAGATGAAAATGGTAGCACGCACTTCAGTGACATTGAGAGTGTGATTAACGAACCAGAAAACGAAGAAGCATCCCCATCAATTTGCAGCTCAGAAAAGGAGGATGAAGCAAGCAATTGTCAACTTGTCTCAGCTAAGCTGATCACCAAAAGCTCCCAAGATTTTGTACTTATCCTCTCCTTTTCAAGAATCATAGCAGATTACTGGTCCTCCTGCCTCTTCATACATCAACTGGTGGACATGTATGGGAAATTGGAGAAATCACCGACTTACAGGCCCTCAATGGCTGCTTTAAGACAAACAAGAATCCGTCAAGAGACATTTAAAAGTTTTGAGAGCATTAAAACAAGAGGAGGAAGAAGTATTAGAGGAGGAGGGAACAGTTTTGGAGTACTTACGAAGCGACCATTACCACCTCCTCTAGCTCCCTCAATAAACAAAGACTTAAAGCCAAGAGTGAGCTCTTTAGTATCATTTCTACAAGTCGCTTTGAGAGAGAAGGAGATTCTTGTGGTAAAGTCAAAAGAAAGGTTATACAACTTCTGGCAAAGCAGCATCACAGCAACTGTAAGGAGGACAAGAGGTCCACCAAGAGTGAAAGTCATCTCACCAATACGTATTCCAACTGGCATTACTGAAAGAACTAGCAGACTAGGGAACAATAGACCAATGACCTCTAGGCTAAGACCATTGACTGGTCGAGCTCGCCCCATAACTGCTAGAAGAATTAGCGTTGATCAGTCACTGTCAGGACCAGCCACTGGAACACATTACATTAAGGTAAAGCAAAAATAATACTCACTGCATAAAACATTCTTTTTATTATAGGTGGATGAGTACATTGGTTACAACTTTATCAAAAACTTTCCCGAAGAGCACAAGATTGATAAAAAAGATCTATTGTGCTTGGCTTCATTGTCAGTGTATATATTGATACTGGGCAGATGCTGTAGAGGATGGGATGGAAATAGAACTAGCAATATAGGTCCTACAGGTCCATCATCACGCACGTATCTTGACCCACTCCTTAAATTTAAGGAGAGAGAAGAGACTGCAGAGAGCAAGGAAGAGCTTATAAAGAGAAGAAGAGGAAAATTAGACACTGGGACATTCTTGATTGGAATAGATGTATCACTGAGGCAGCTATCTGCAGAGAAAACACAAGGACTTTTTGCACCGTTAACTAACAGTAAACCACATTTAATGAGCACATAATGTTCATCTATACTCATTCTATTACAGCTGTAGGTCTAAGAGTTGATTTGAGTTCGTATAAATCATTTACTGACATGATACTAGCACTGAATGAATCAGTGCATCACTGTAGATGCAATGGACACTTTCCATTTAGTACAGTAGCAGATGAAGTAAGCCATAAAACACATTTAATGTGAAGATTATGAATAATTTCTATACAGTATGGACTAGTTCATGGTATACCGGTCAGGTTCTCTTACTACAATTCAAATGATGTTCAGCAGTTGAGTGACCCCGATCAATTCTTCTTCATAGAGACTGCAGTGGGTGTTGAAAAGAAAGCTCTTTCAAAAATGGGCTCGCTCTGTTACATTAATCCACTTAACACTAAAATGGATGATAAATGCCAATTAGAAGTAAGAGCTGACAAGTACTAGATCTACTATGATATGGCCATAAAATCATGCAATTTTCACAAGTTGTGCATTACCCAGTACACATAACGTTATTAAAATGTACATCACTATAATACATCTACTATAAGCAGTATTTTGTCCTACAAATGTTTGCATTATAAGATGCTTCCTTCTCTTATATAGTTATTCATGTGGGAAGGAGTGAGACAGTACACTATTGAAGGACTCTTTATATTTCAAACAAACGGTCCATTCAAATCTGACCAGGTCATGAGGTCCTTCAACGAAGAAATGATCAAACTATTGCAACTTGTGGCACAAAATCCAAACATTGATACAGGAGCTCTGGTATCAAGCATTGAACCTCCATTCACCAACGGGGTCATTAGAGATAAACAAAGGAGAAGATAATTATAATCATTTTAGCTGAAAATCACAAAAAATTAATGTTTCATCGCTTTCTTTTGGCCGCCAGCCTTTCTCTAGCTCCCAAATTCTCATCGGATATTCCTCCAAAAACAGCACTTGGGACGGTTTGTTTCTCCAATTGAATTTCTATTTAATAATAATAATAATATTTTATTTATTTTACTTTTATTCAAAAATACAATCATTCTACCTTCTACTGGTTGAATATCTTCATCGTCGTCTTCGGCGATATTAATTTCATCCGGATTAGCATTTCTTGCCAATTCCTCCATTTCAGCAGTTGCCTCTGTACTCCTACAGACACAAGTATATGTATACACAGTAAAACTGATGCATAATGATGAAATAATTCTAATTAATGCCTACCTATTCTAATTAATACCCACACAGCAACAAAATTATTGTCCCTTACTTTACAAAACTCATTGTTTTTGTTTTCGCTTTGTCCTTTTTGGTTTCTTCATTCATTGCTCTCGCCTTCTCTTCCAACAGTTTCATGTCGTCCTGTCCTCCAGTCATGGCTTGTTTTGCAGTATTGGCCATCATTTGGGAAGACATCATAAAATTAACCTAAATTAGATTAAATTATACATGCACAAATGTACATGTACAAGTATCTCGACCCTAATCTTTGCTCTTTCTTTCTCCCTTCCCTCCCTTTTAATCTCTCTCTCTCTCTCTCTCTCTTTCTTCCTTCTCTCCCTCTTTCTTTTTCTCCTCCCTCTCTCTCCCTCTCTCCCCCTTTCACTCCCTACCTGTGTGTTATATTGTGCTTGAACACTTCTCTTTATTCTTAGCATTTCTCTAAATGTGTCCTCATTTCCATGACGTACCTCAAACTCCTGCCACTCCTTCCAGTACTTCTTAGCAGTCTACAAACAACAACAACAACAACAATAACAACAACAACAACAATAACAACAACAATAATAAAAATACACAAACAAAATATATCCCATTCAATAATGGATCAATGAATGTCATCAATGAATATCATTAATAATTAACATAAAATAATTAAAAGACAATAACTAATGAATATTGTATAACACACACAGTCACACACCCAAAGTCAGTAAATTCATGATTGATTAACATATACTGTACAAGGTACAATGGATGTAGTATACAACACATACATGTACACATTACACAGCTAGTGGCCCTACCCGTGGATCACTGAACTGAGATCCATGACTATAAATAGCTCTTGCTCTATCTATCTCACCAAGTTTAGTCTCCAATTGAGCATAACTTAAACACATCTCCCTAAAAAATTTTAAAACCAATAAATGAAATATACATGTACACAACGTAAAATAATAAAATAATACCTAGCGGGTCCTTCTGGTAATACTTCAATTGCCTTCTCATGTATTGATCTGGTCTGTACTATACCAAAGGACTCTGAGGCACGTTTAATATAAATAGAAAACATCTAATAGAGAAATAACACAAATAACAACAAAAATAAAACAACACAAGTAAATACAATGTATACTACCATTGACATGATAAACACATTATACAGAATAAAACAACACAAGTACATGTACATTAAATACAATGTGCATGTATACTATTGTACACATGATTAAACACATTATACATTTACATGTAGTCACATGTGACAGACCTCATGTTGTTCCTCAGGCAGTACTGCTGCTGTGGCTCTCTCATACACATTCATGGCACGTCTTGTTAGTCCGTAGTCTTCCTCCAGTTTAGCATAAAGCAGATACAAATCTAATGAAGAAAGAGAAAGAGTAGAAATAAAATATTATTATTATTATTATTATTATTATTATTATTATTATTATTTTACTTTTAGCATATTCAGTTGGACAGCCATCAAGTGCTTGCTCAAACAAATCTCTTGCTCTCTCTAACTTCTTCCCTCCCTTTAATAACATAATAATACAATACAATCATTAATAATGCTGTGATAGTCCATACATATCTATTTATGAATTTCGTGAGGTAATCCTTCCACAGTTCGTTAACGTGTGGCCAGCGGAATAGCGATATCCCTCTCTCGTAAGCCTTGAAACTTTCCTCAAAATAATTGTTCTCCTCTAGGAAGGAGCAGAAATTGAGTATAGTCTGTGGAGTGGCAATCTTTAGATCAATAATCCTGTTGTATACTGCCTTAGTGGTCTAAAAGAAAGAGAGGAGGGAGAGAGAAAGAGAGGGAAGGTATAAATAAAAATAAAGCTGCAGAAAGATATACTAACTTCAAGTGTTCCCAGGCTCTCCTCAAGGTCAGCATACATTGACCAAACCTTTAGATTCTTATATAATCTATTCTGAACCGGCTCACTCTAAAACAGTAAAAATGACAAAAATTAATAATTATAAAGTAATAATAATAATAATAATAATAATAATAATAATAATAATGCATGCATACCTTGTCATAGTAGGCAGCTCTTTTAGGAGGGACTGCAGTTGCTCTCTGCATCAGCTGTAGTGCTCTGTCATAATTTCTAGAAAATAAATAAATAAGTAAATATTATGCTAGCATCTTTTAAATGGGAAAATTCTATAGCTAAAAAACCATTAGTAACTATAAAATAAAATGATGCAATCTCACTCGTGCCTGAGCTCCATTTCAGCATACTCACACCAAACATTAGCTAAATCATCAACTGATTTAAACTGAACCTTAGTAGCTTTATCAAATATAATACGAGCCTATGAGAAGAGAAAGGAAAAAATGGCAGAATGAGCAACATATGTAATTATAAAACTTGATTCATTATACAGTATTTAACTACTACAGTACACATTATAAAGTAGTCAGTCCCTTACTCACCTCTGGTAGCTGATTATTAGTTTCATAGAACATAGCAAAGGCAGTCCAGAGTGTGTGTGGTTTCCCCACTGCTTGCTCTATATTGACAGTCTGAACTGCCTCAGTGAATGTTTTAATAATGTCAGAGGGTCTTCCTTCAAACAGTGCCACCCTCTTGTGCCACTCGTGGACGTTGTGAGGATTCTGACGGAGGAGGACGCTACTGAGGAGTACTGGCCTCGTGTCCATTAGGTTCTCAAAACGTGAGAGTCTTAGTTCCAACTCAACCTCATCTAATAAATAGATGTGCAATAATAATAATTTAATAATAGTAATAAAATACAGTACAAAAATTTTGAAATGGCCACTATCATACATGAAAATAGAAAAATCAATCTAATTCACAGTACATGGTAGCGTTTTATTTTAATTATTAGAAATAAAATCACCAGTGATCAAACTACAGTACACTAATGGTGACATACACTTAATGTCTTATTGCATTGTACATCATAATTCATAACATTATACAGTATAACCTCGATTATCCGGACCCCTTTGTCCATCAGGTGGTCCGGATGGGTCCGGATAAGTGAAAAGTCGGGATAATTGAAATGACCTTTAAAACCTTCATATACTGGTCACTTCCAGTAATGATTTCAGAGTCCGGATAATCGAGGTTATACTGTAATACAGTTCTCATACCTTCCTCAGTGAGTTCTGTGGTTGACTCCATCTTTGATTGTATCATTGTTTCCTCATATTGTGAATAAGCATCAAATATTTGTGTGAAATCACGGACTGTGATGACAGAGTGTATCCCCTCATTGTATATGTCCCTACCCTAATTAAAGAGCACCCACTGTAAATATTCAACATTTAGTAATTATTAGTGTTTTATGTACATGTACGCGTGTATGTATACAAAGTACTGAGCTAGTAATATGCTATGTAGAAAATTTGAGCTGTTTCTGACAAATAGTTTTGTGAGTTATGAGTATTTCAAAAACAAGCCAAACTTTGGGAAAAAAAGCAAAGGCTATAGCCCATTGTTTTTTTTTTCAAAAAATGGCTCTAAAATCACGCCCCAATTTTTATTATATTTTCTAATACATATTGATGTCCTTATGCTATGTAGAAAGTTTGAGCCAATTCCGGCTATAATTTTTCGAGTTATGGNCATTTTTAAAAATATGCTAAAATTTGAAAAATACCCAAGGCTATAGCCCATGCTTTTTTCCAAAAAATGGCCAAAAAATCANCCCCAATTTTTATTACATTTTCTGATACCTATTGACGTCCTTATGCTATGTAGAAAGT